TGTCGTCCAGGGCTCCTTCCAGCCCACCGTCATCTCCTTGGTCCATGGGTACCTCAACTCTTCCTACTTCGGCTTCCCCGACCCTAAGCTTTTCCCCTTTGCCAGCATCCTCACCACAGACTTCCCCAGCTTCTTCTGCGCCCTGGACAACATGTGTCCCGTCAACGTCTCGGCCAGCTTCCGGCGGAAGCAGCCTCAGGAGGCCGCCGTGTGGCGAGTCCGGTCCCCCCAGCCCCTCCTTCGCTCCCAGCTGAAGACGCTCTTTCGCTCCTACTACTCAGTGCAGACAGCCGAGTGGCAGGCCCACCCCGTCCACGGCCCCCGCAGCCCCCTCCCGCGGTTCGTGCTGCACGACCAGCTCTTCCTCCTCAATGCCCTGGAGTGGGCGGCCAGCTCCGTGGAGGTGACGGCAGTGGCTGCCAAGAACGTGGCCCTGCTGGCTTTCAACCGCTGGTACCAGGACCTAGACAAGATTGACCAGAAGGATTTGATGCACAAGGTAAAGACTGAACTGTGAGGGCTCCAGGGAGAGCTGGAAACATCCAGCCCCCGCTCAAGACGGATCCCACCCCACGCAGTGGCCAAGGTTTTACAAGCCACACTCACCCACAGAGCCCTTCTCTGACCCCTCGTGTGTGGAGCGTCTTTTCTGTCCATTGTGGGTCCTGGTGGCCAACGTTCTGCCTCTCCGTCTTAAGGATTTTCACAGTGTTGCTTCTTTTGAAGGGGGAGAGCAAGAGCGGGGGAAGGACATTCAAGCCAATGTATGCATTTATTTATTTTTTCTAAGAAGAAATAAAAATCCATCTTGAGCTGCTTCTGACTTGGTTTTCTAACTAGGAGACAGTGATAACTATGGGAGGGAATATAAGGCAGAGAACTCTGAATCCAATTTCCTTATTGTTTTCCCCTGCCTACTCCCAACATGTACCTGAGGCAACACCTACAATGAAACATATGTAACCAGATGGTTACAAATAGAGGGAAGATGAGAAAACATGAGACAGGATTAAAGCTCCTACTTACTGTAGGCTTGCTAGATGCAAGGTACCTAGTTAAGAACTTAATAGACACCATCCAAGCCTCTAGAAAACACTGCATATTGGAGGAGATGACTGTGGTAGGATACAAGGAAGAAACGGTTACTCCAGCAGAGCTGGCAGTATAGCTCCGTGCTTCCTGGTAACCAGTGGGAAAAGGGAAACATAGCAGGCCAAAGGAAGAGGAAAGCTTTTCCTTGGCACCTGGAAGAAGGGACCATTCTGTCCCTTAAGCAAGAGTTGAGGAGTAATACCGTGGATCTGTCTTATAAGAAAACAAGTTCCCAGCTGGTGGAGGGCAGTCCTGCCTCACCCCCAAGCACTCACCCCAGAAGAGGAAGGGGAAAAAAGAAGGTGCTGAGATGGAGTTCTTCGGAGGTTGGATGCCCAAGTCGCACCCAGACCTGCTAAATCTGGCTCAGGGGAGGGCCCAGATCCCCAGGATGACACGACACTGCCAAATGACATTGACATTGTGAATTCCCAGCAGGAACAGCCCCAGCGGGCATCCAGCCAACTTCCCTCTTTTGGTTTGGTAGAGATGGAGATAAAAAGTCCAAAGTGAGGAAAGAATTTGCCCAGAGTCTCTGGATGAGTTCATAGAACGGAGCTAAAATCTTGAATGTCTCCTTAAAAATTAATTGAATTCCGTATGGGGCAAAATACCCTTCAAGGAGGCAGAGGCCCAAACCACCTCTGAAGTTGTGTTTACTATGCGGAAGTGATGGTAGTAAAAGAGATGGCGCCTTTGAAGTGCAAGCAGTGTGCACTCATTGGTCACAGGAAATATGAGGCTGACACATCAGTAAGAATGCTTTTGGGTGCAGTAGTAGAAAACCAAATTCAAACTAGCTCAAGCGATAAAAGGGTCTTATTGGTTATCATAAAACTCCAGGCACAGGGCAGGCATCGAGCACTGTGGAATGCCAGTGTGGCCTTCACTTCTCTCATGGTCAGAGATGGCCATCAGAGGGTCTTCTCCCATGGCCCCTGAAGCAAAGTCTGGGCTCTGGGCCAAAATGGGCCCCTACTGAACCAATTCCTGGGGCCAAGTGAATGCCACATGCTGATTGGCTTAGGATTCAGCTACTGTACCAGTACCTGGGACACAGGCGAGAAGATTAAACTGATTGGCTTAGAACAGTCAAGTCTCACCCCTGGGGCAGAGGTGGTCCCCAAACTCTAAGATCAGAGGGGTGGAAAGGGTGTTGGAGAGCGGTACACTGACAACCAGATTCAGGAGGGGGCTGTGCCCTCCCCTTCCTCTCAGGTCCAATGAAATCAGTATGTAACGACTTCTTACAGTATGTCATGGCCTGTGTTTGAAATAAAGATGCTATGGGCTGTCATGCTGTAACCGATGATCGCTGGTATTGGGCCAGAGGACCAAGGCCAGTACCAGACTTGTCCCTAATAACACCCATCCCTCGCATCCCTAAGGATGTGTGCACAGAAGAGGCAAACCAGGGCAGACACACTTGATCCTCAGCCTGGCTGCAGTGGAGCTGGCTGGTCCTTCAGAAACTTCCTTTATCTGGGTAGGCAGGCCTGAACAGCTCAGACCAAAAGCAGGCCAAAATGCCTGCGCTGCCTGCTTCTGCAAGCCCAAACCTGAGAGCTGGATCCCACCGCCTCTCTGCCTACAAGGAAAGGCCAGAGATTCCTGAAGGCATCAGAAGGGAGCATGGGAACCAGCAGGAAGCCTTGGCACCAGGGCCACCCTAGCCTTCTCAGGCCAGGAAAGAAGCCCCCAAGGGCCCACAGCTCTCTGGGAGAAGACAGAGCACTTGCAAAGACAGAGAGAGCTCTATGATCTGCCAAACAAAACAGGAAAGAGACCACACCACCTCAGTAGTCCCGGGTGCAACGCAGTAGACTTTTAACGCTTCACCCCTAGACTCCACCCCTAGAGCAGGTGAGCCAAGCAAAATTTCAGCACTTTGTGGGGAGGAGGGCTGTGGAGGGTAGAGTTTGAGGTGGGTGAGGAATAGTGAGGGAGAGAGGAATGCCTTGCTCCTGACCCACCTCTGAAGGAGCCACAGGGGAAGCTAAGGGCAGAGCGTGGGCTCCCTCTAGAGGCTTCTGTGCATGTATGCATTCATTCATTCACCAAGCCCTGCACCCCTATTTTGCACCGGGCACTTGCTAGGTGTTGCACATGCAACACTGAAGGAGTTAAACGAGGCCTCTGTTTTCACGGAGTGGGAGGTTCTCACCAGACAGTGGAAAACATGAAATCCACTTAGAGCAAATGAGGTTCTGGGGTAGTGTAGACCTGCCTCTCCAAAGGTCCTGAACTCCCTGCTGCTGCCTTTAAACCACGGAACTGGGAAGGGCCAGCTGCCAGCCCAAGCTCACTAGGCCAAGCTCCTAAGTTACAGAATAATAAAACCAGAAAAGACCCTGGAGATCCCTAAATCCCACCTGCTCGTTTCACAGATGAGAAAACCGAAGCCCAGAAAAGAGGAAAAGGCAAGATCCGCATAAAACTAACCGGCATTTGTTGAGCATCTGTGTGTGTCTGATGCTCTGGTAGGAGGAGGACAGCCAGAACCACCCAGATGAGGAGCTTCCCCACCCGATCCCTATGCCCTGGGCACCCGGGGGGCTCCCAGGCCCTTACCCCACAAAAAGGCCTTGGAGGCCATGGTCCCTTGTGTTCAGCTGAAGTCTTAAGGCCTGGAGAGCAGGCTGCAGGGGCTTCAGAGAAGAGCAACCCCCCAGGGAGGAGAAGTGGCTGCTGAAGGCATGCGCACGCGCTGGCACATGAAGTCTACTTTCCATGTGTCTGGAACCAGGCCGAAGCTTTCTGGGGTAATTTTAACCAGTATCCACTCTAGAACAATACCAAAAAAGGTAAGTTACTTGCCAGCCCAGACAGGCACATACCAAACCACTGCCCTTTCATGAATTAGACCCTGAAAACATTCAGAACTAAAGCTGCTTCAGGCACTGAAGTTAGAGCAGCCGAGCAAAGTATTCCTGTGCTGGCTGTTGGCCCTCATTGAAATTAACTGTAAAGTACCAGCTATTCTTACTCTCAGAAAACAGCCTGAGCCCCTCAGCTGTCTTGGGAGAGGGAAGGTATTTTTAGCCCCTAGAACAGCTGACTTAGGATTTGCTGCAGGAGCTAGGAGGGCAGGGGAGGATTGAATTGCAAGGGGCTAATGGGAGAGGGGGTTGGAATTAGCATCCAGGGGTCAGGAGCCAGCAGGGGCTTTAGGGCAAGTCAGTCCACGCTGCCTTTTTGATCAGCAAAGGGTCTTGGTATAAGCCAGTAGTTCTCAAAGCGTGGTCCCCATACCAGCAGCGTCAGCATCACCTGGGAACCACTGCGTTAGAAAGGCGAAGTCTCAGCCCCCGCCTCCAACCTACTGACTCAGAACCGCTGTGTGTGGGGCCCAGCAATCTGTATTTAAACAAGCCCTTCGGGGGATTCCAGTGCTAGCTATAGTTTGAGAACCACTGAGAGAGCAAACCATCTAACCAGATCCCCTTGTGGATAAGGCTCGATGAAAGAATGATCTTCATTAATGTTCTCAACTCTTGAGTGTTTGTTCAAAGCCAGGAGTCTCCAGCCCAGAAAGACATACCCACATGAAAATTCAGGTGCTCACTGGCCCAGGTTAAAAAACCCTGCTCTTTGGCAACCTGGAGGCTCTTCTCTGGATCTAACTCTGACATGCAGAGAATCTGAGTTGAAAGAGACTATGTACATCATCGACTCTACCCAAAGGAGGAATCCGCTCCACAATACTCTTGAGAGGCTCAGCCTTAGCTGGACCCTTCCAGAGACAGGGAGCTCACTGCTTCTAAAGGGCCTCTTTGCAATGGCCCTTGACTTAACTGGGGAGAATCAACTCTTGTTCATTCCTAGATAGGTTTATACCAACCAAGCTCCAATAACGTGGCTGAAATACAGGCTTATAAACCCAAATTAAAGAAAGTAACTGTCCTAAATGGTAGACATGAAATGTAATATTTTTGTAATAACCCATCTCAGTGCTGGAGAACACTGGGTGATGGAAAAATCCTCCTTCACATTGATCGAAATCTACCTCCCACCCGGTTTTGGCTTCAGAGCCACAAGGAGCAAACCCAAAGTCTTGCTTTCCAAAAGACAGCCTTTACTTTTCATTGCCTTGCTCGGCACGGGGGTGCAGGGAGGACTGTCTCAGAAGATGCAGGTACAGCCCACGGCGATGGTCTCCATGACTGCGCGCTGGCGGCAGGGCCCGGTGCGTGGCGGCAGCGGGCAGAGGCGACGACGCACAGGCACCTGGCTGAACACGGGCACGCTCACCATGCTGCGGTCCTCCTGCATGGTGAAGGGGTTCACGCAGCCCAGACATAGGCACCGCGCCTCCGGCAGGTCTGCAGGAATGCGGCTAGGGTCGTGGTTGATGCTGCGGGAAGGCAAGAGAGAGCACAGGGCAGAAGGATGGTTGTGGTAAAGACAAATTAGTGCCCACCCCCGATGCCCCTGCCTTTCCTAACCCAGGTTTTGATTGCACAGCAAGACCGTGCCGTGCTGGAGGAAAGGCAGTGGGCTTGCGGACCTGCAGCATCAGCATCACCTGGGAGCTTGTTAGAAATGCAGAATCTCTCCCTACCCCAGACCTCCTGAATCAGAACCTGTATACTCTTAAGATCCCCAAGAAAGTCATGGGCACAGTAAAGTAGAAGCCCAGCTTCGGAGGATCTTTATGGAGCCTTCCAGTTGCCACATTCCAGGTATGGGAGCCACTAGCGACATGTGGCTGTTTGAGCTTAAAATAATCAAAATTAGCTCCCCAGTCACACTAGCCACATTCCAAGGGCTTAGTAGTCACACGAGGCTAGTGGCTACCATATTGGACTTTACACTGTCACAGAAAGCTCTATTGAACATGCTCTTCTAGAGTCTCAGGACATAAGGTGTGTGGCTAAAAATCTTTGGCCTGGGTTCATGAGTGAGGACCCTTCAGGGTCAGTCCTTTTCTTCATTATTTATTCTCCACATATACACATGGCCCCTTCTGTGTGCCCAGGTGGTGTGCTGGGAAGTGGAGCTACAACCAAGTTAAGACACCACTCCTGTCCCCTAGGGGCAGCAGGTCTTGATTCCCAAGCCCAGCTGTGCATCCTAACCATGTGGAGATGTAGATAATGCCACTTGCTGGGCCTCATCCCTGGAGATTTTGATTGAATGGGGCATGAGAATCCTTAGATGATTCTGATGCAGGCACTGGGATGGTCCCAGTCTAGCGTGAGAGACAGATGTGCACACAGCCAACTCAGTACTGCCTGGAAGTGCTGTAACTAGAGGTGTGTACAAGACACTCGGAGCTGGAGGACGTGACATTTGGGGAAGGCCTTGCAGGCCCTTCACTGGAGACTTGGAGAACACAACGGCAGTGCCCTGCATGGATATCTCATTTAATAACAAGCCTATGAAGTAGATATTATTATCACCTCCACTTATAGTTGAGGAATCTGAGGCTCAGAGAGGCTAAGCAACTTGCCCAAAGCCACACAGCCAGTCAAAGGCAGAGCCAGGATGCAAACCCAGGCCTCCAAATCCAAGGTCTTAGCTCTTACAATGACAGGGAGAGTGGGCGAGGCATCCCCTCCAGCCCCCAACACACAGCTTACCCACTGCTGCCCAGCCTGGCCTACCTGTAGCCCCAGGGCGACAGGCTCCTCTTGTTGGACAGCCACAGCTGCAGGTTGACCTCACACTTCCTCCTGGCCGGCTCGGAGCTGTTCCTCAGCTGGGCCACCATCTCCCCCAGGTTCCTCTCATATTCCTCCATGCGGGCATATGGCTTTGCCTGGGACACGAGGTCCAGCGGCACCTGGTGAGGCCCAGGGGCCAGGGTCCCAGGCCGCCCTTGCCCCTTCCTCTTGCCTTTGGGGTTCCTGGGCTGGCCCAGCCCCAGGAAGATGGAGATGGTGAGAAGGAATAGCTGAGGAGGAAGGCCACAGGTCAAAGGTGGGAGAGCCAGGTCTCCCTCTGGGCTAAGATTTGGGGCCCAAGGAAGGGGAAAGGAAGAGGCAAGGCCTCTAGCAGGGCCACCCTCACCTGTCATGCCCTGGCCTGGTCCCACCAGCCCACCACATGTGTACAGATGCACGTATGCACCACGCTCATCGCTAAGTCCTGATGCACCTCTTAAGAATCTCCCCAGGGCTTCCCTGGTGGCGCAGTGGATGAGAGTCCGCCTGCCGATGCAGGGGACATGGGTTCATGCCCCGGTCCGGGAAGATCCCACATGCCGCGGAGCGGCTGGGCCCGTGAGCCATGGCCGCTGAACCTGCGCGTCTGGAGCCTGTGCTCCGCAAGGGGAGAGGCCACAACAGTGAGAGGCCCGCGTACCGCAAAAAAAAAAAAAAAAAAAAAAAATCTCCCCAGCCATCCACTTCACTATCTGTACCACCAGCCTCCCCTTCTTGGACAGCTCAACCAGCCTCCTACCTGGTACTTCACATCCTCCCCTGTCTCCTTCCAATCAATTCTCCACACCCTGGCCAAGGATGGGTGTTTGAAATGCAAACCTATTAACATCACCTGCCCAGGCCAGACCTCTGCTGAGTTCTCCTCCCTCAAATCACTCCTGGCTGCCCCTCACACCCGTGCTTCAGCCTTGGGCCTTCTTGCAAACCTTCCTCTCCCCATGCTCCTTTCTGCACAAGGAACTTGCACAGGCTGTTCCCTGCAGAGTCCTGCCTCTCACCCTTCAGGTCTTGGCTCCAGTGCCACTTCCTTAGGGAGGCCTCTGTGGACCTTCTTGGGCTCTCAACACCTGATGCCTCTTGCGTGACTGCAGTCTTACGGTGCATACATGTGATTCCTTCATATGTTGGGCCCACACCTAGCACAGGCTCCATGAGGGCCAGCATCATATCCATTCCCACACACTGCCTCGTCCCCTGTGTCTGCACGGTACTGGGCACTTAGGTATTCAGTAAACATTTGCTGAGTGAATGAATGCCTGTCACCATCCCTGCCCATCTGTCGCTTACAGCCTGGCAAGGAAAACAGACGGCGAACAAGAAAACGTGCACCTAAGCCTCGCTAGCAGCAGTGTGTGGATGGGACCACACAGCATGTGGTTAGAGAAGAGCAGGGCCACCCGCTTAGCCTTGTGGCAGTGGGGTGGTCTTGCAAAGACTTTCTGGGGAGGGGGCGTGTCTGGTGAGGTTTGAAGGATAAGACAGAGGCAGATATGGGCAGAGGGAGCCTAAAAATTGTATGGGGTGGGGGAAGGAAAGTGTGAAACGAGGTTTCAGTTGGTTAAGAGCTTTGCTGAAAGGAGGCTGAAAGAAGCGGCTGGGAGATGCAGCTGGGGAGGTGGGCAGGTCATGGCCAAGGATCCCTGTTGGCCTCCATGACAGCTTTGCTCCCCTCGTCCACACCCGGACCCTCTGCCTGCCTGACCCCTTGTCCACCCTCACCCGACCATCCACATCTGGGAGCATCAGGAAAGCCTCTCACTCACACGGGAGAGGACCTGGGAGCCCAGCAGAACACAGACTCCTCAGGAAGCCGGGAGAGAAGGGCCAGGACTTGGGTGAGGGCCAGGGCTGGTCAGAAGGGAGGACCCTCTAGGGGGAATTTCATCTCCTCGTTGAATCTAGCCAGGCTCCCACCTACCCTGTATCCCTCACCCTACCACCCACACGGCCCGTGCCAATCTACCCAGCCAGTCTTGACCCTTAGAAACAAGTTCCGGCAGAGCCCCTCTCGGCAGAACCATTTCTTGGCACAAAATTCATGACAGATTCAAGTGGCTGAATTCTTCCATTTTGGTCCTAGATTCTGCAGCAGAAAAATGTCTCCCTAACAATAGGCTTTCTCATCAGAGCTTCTCACATGGCGTTCTTAAACTCTGGCTCTCCCTTTATAGATGGGAAACAGAGAAACAGAAGGACTTGCCCAGGGTCACACAGCCTGGATCTCAGGACCCAGAGGCTCTTTGGAAAAACCCCGATAACGGAGATGGCCAAGATCTCCCCAGATGCCTTTGGCCTGAAAGGGCTTCAGTGTCATGGGGCTGAGCGCAGCTCAGGAGCCGAGCTACTGGCCATGGCTGCAGCCTCTGAGACCCGTCTCTGTTTCCTTCGTGTCCTGGGGGAGAGGACAGAGGGAGAACTCACCTCTGCAGATTCCAAGCCAAACAGAGGTTGCTATTAATCAATAGAGAAGAAGTAACGAAACATTCAGGCCCTAAAAAGGGATGGGGGTGGAGTGGTGAATCGTCACGTACCAGGTTGTGTGGCCAGTCCATCCTGCGAGCCAGGCGATCGGCCTGCAGCTGCCACCCGCCTGGAACCCCAGATGCCTCCGCCAGGAGAATAGCAGCAACAGGACGGCGCGAAGCAATTATAGCTCGTCAGGGGGTTGCCGGGGGAGTGGGTGGGTGGGCTCGTCATCGCCTGGGAGCCTTGGGCCCCCAGCTGGCTGGGCCTGGCGCAGTGGCAGGCGGTGAGGGGCGTGGGGGCAGGCCAGGAGCTGGGACGAGGTGCCCAGGGGCTGTTGACTGAGGGACAATGCCCTGTGTGTCTGATGGGGCTCTGGCGGGTGGCACCTCCGCCTGTGGCCTGCGGCCGGCCGCCCAGCCAGCACCCACAGGGCCGCCTGAGACAATCGGCTTCGTTAGTTTGGGGGATGGCAAGGGGGCAAGGGTGGAGGAGGGACAGGCTGTCCGTTGGTCAGGAGATCAAATGTTCTCAGAGAGAGCTAGCCAGGAGTGGGACACAGGCCCCATCTCCCAGGGAAACAGCCTCAGGCACTCCAGCCTCAGCCAGCCTCGCCAGCCTCAGGTGAGCTCCGTGGCCCCAGTACACTGGTAGTTCACAGGAGGGGAAACTGGGGCCAGAGTGAAGAAAGGACTTGTCTAGGATTATACAATGAGTGAGAGATGACAGAGCTGGGGTTCGTATCTGGTCCCCATGTGGGGCTTTATCCACCACCCCACTCTGTTTTTCTTGGCATATTTTCTGCACAATTCTGGCCTGCTATGAACATGTTTCTGAATCTGTGTGCTCTCACGCAGGCCAAGTCACGGGTTCGTGAGGACTTCACGGCCGGTTGTCCTGGCCTTCCAGATGCAACACTCCCCCTCGTGTAGAGAAGGTCTCCACTCCAAGGGCCTGCCCCTGTGTGGCTGCTTGTGACTTCCATTCTCTCTCAGCCTCAGTTTCCTTCTCTGTAAAATGGGAGTCATACCCAGGAATCGACAGTGGCCTGGCCCATTTTTCCCTGAAATCTTTCTGAGTCTCAGTGCCCCCATCTCTAGGATGGGGATGTCATAGTAGCCGCCTCTTGGGGCTGCCACAAGAAGTAAGGGAAATAACCCATGTTAAACAACTGGCACAGTGCCACGTAGTATGTGCTCAATAAACACAGCTGTTTATTATGAATGTTATCATTATAAAATAATTGTATAATTGTTACTGGGAACGTTAGCATCAGAGCAAAGCACGGTTCTCATTGCTCAGCCAACTCTCCTTTCTACCCCCTCGGGCCCACCCTCATGGCTGAGAGACTTCTGGGCTTCACAGGCTCTGGCCACAATTTCATGAGCTCAGGTGACCCCAGGGTCTACACATCCTGGAATCACGGGCTGAACGGACCAGCCCTGCTGGTCTGGATCTCTCCCCTTGAGTGAGCAGCCCAGCTGAATGTGAGCGAGCAAGTCCCCCCCCCCAGCCCCGGCATCCGGGGGATGGAGGAGAGGGGGGAAGGGGGTGTGAAGAGGACAGGGGAGGGACACCGTGAACAGGCATCCAGGACTGCACCGTCCTACTCAGGGCCACTCTTGGCCATTTACAGGAATCACCGAGGGAAGAACGCAGGGTGCAAGGCGCTCCTGAATGTCACAAGATTGATCTGTCCGGGGCAGGTTTCCACAGCATAACTGAGAAGCTGGCTGAGGCTCGAGCTCATGAGAGATACCACCATATTTGGTCAAATACTAGACAGGGCTCTATTCTACCACTGGAAACTCCAGAGGGAGGGGGACTCTGAAAATACTTCCTCAAGTAACAAGGCCCCCAGCCCCACCCCAGGCTGTCCCAGCCCCACCACTACTGTCCTTTTCACACGTGAAACAGCCAGCACGAGGGGGCGAAGGATGGGGGCAACCTGGCTGTAACCTGTGCAGCCTCCTTGCTGTCCCTCTGCTGCTGCTGCCGGTGGGGTCCAACAGACACGCAGCTGGCGGGGACACATCCCTGCATCCACAGAACGGTGGAGAAATTAAAAGATGGGGATTGGGGCTGCTAGGGGGTTCCTCTGCTTCTCAGGACCCCTGAAAGCATCACACTCTCCTTACCTGCTGGCGACACACACTGCTGGCTTCCGGCTCCCGAAGACAGGACTTGGCCGCCTCAGCTTCCAACTTCACGTAGATTCCAGGGTCCTGGGCCCAGAGTTCTGATGGGGCGGGCCCAGGAATTTGCACCTTAACAAGGCCCCAGTCTGGGAGCTATAGGGGTCCTCGCCCATCCCCTAGCTCATTCCCTGCCCTACCGCCATTCTACCACAAGGAGACCAAGGCCCAGGGAGCAACAGGCCTTACTTACCCAAGCTCACACAGCATGTCGGTGCAAGGCGGGGTAAGGCTGGTTTGAGCACAATTCAGTCTTCTAATTCTTACTAGTTTTCTCCAAACTTTATACATACAGCTCTGGGCTGGGCTAGGCCTCTTGGCTGCTTAAGAGGGAATCTAGGAGCCAGGCCAGTCCCTCTGGGAGTCCCAGAGCCCCCTCAATGTGGAGGGGGATCTGTGTGTACCCAAGCAGGTACAGTGGGGAGTCAAGGATGGGCCCAGGGACCATCACTGGGTTTCCCATTCCTGGGCCATCTCAGGCTAGGAAGGAGGGCCATTCTTCTAGCCTTGGTTTATAGAAACCACTGAGAGGTCATCAGCCCTGAAGGATATCCTGAAGGTGAACCCTGGCCAACCACTTAGAGACCCTACCCCTCAGGTCAGAGCCAGGCCTGAGGGAGGCATGGGAACTTGGGCTTCAGGGGTCTCTGCCCCACAGCAGAGTTGGGGTCCTTAGGTCTTTTCTCTCAGAAGGTGATCAACACAGGGGAATGAGGAAAGGGGTGGATGGGCTGGAGAGTGAGTGTCAGGGAATGGTCGTGCTCAGAGCCACCAGGTCCGTTAGCTGCCGCCCAGCTAGGAGCAGTTCTGTACTCACCACCAGGTGGCGCCACCAGAAAGCCAGACACCTCCAAGGAGCAGGCAAACCCTGGCAGAACTTCCGTGCCAGCCACCCCTTTTCCCTAGAATGGACCCTGGGCTGAAAACGAGGGAACCAGGTAAGTAAAAGTCCTTTGCCTGCCCCCGGCTGCCCAAGTAACCCTACTGTTGATGAGGACCAGTGTCCGGGACACCTTCCACATCAGATCAGGAAGAGCACGACCAGCCAAGAGTGAGGGGGCAGAGGTGGGGAGGGTTGGGGGCTTCTGTCTGCTGTGTCAGTGATTCCCTTCACTTGGAGCACCTACCACGTGCTAGGCCCTATGCATCTGGCACCTGGACACCGTCATTTTCAGAAAGAAACAATTAGCAATAATAGCTGCTGTATAATTCTACTTACTGACCACCAGGCACTGTGCTAAGTCCTTCGTGTGCATTGTTTTATTAAATCCTTCCAACCACCTTGTGGCGAGGTCCTAATTTTATCCCGAATCTATGGATGGGGAAACTGAGGCTCAGAGAGCCCAAAGTCACAGAGCATTCAAAGCAAGTTTGTCTGATTCCTGCACGTGCTGTTCCCTGCTGTGCGGGAAGGAGAGGAGAATCACAGCCAGGAAGGAGGCAGGAATGCCCAGGAAGGAGGCAGCTGATCATCAAGGAGGATCTGTGCTTGCCTCAACCTCACCCTGACATCTTCAAACCAGATCCTGCATGTCAGGGAGGTCACTGAGCCCAAGCCCAAACTAGAGTCCTCCAAGAGGATCTGAGAGCTCCCAAGGTGTGGGCATGGCACCCAGCAATGTTCCTGGCACACAGTAGGCATTCACTAAATACTTGATGCATTGAATCAAAACAGCCGTATGTATGTGATACAGGGTGATAATGCTGGGATGGAGCATGGGAGCCCAGAGCAGCGGGGACCTGGAGGAGGAGGTGCAGTTCAGGAGGTAAGAGTTCAGACTCCAGAGGTTGACAGACCTGAGTTTTAATCCTGCCTCTGCCAATTCAGAGCTGTGTGACCTTGGGAAAGTTACTTGACTTCTCTGAGCCTTAGTTTCTTCTGCACAGTGGAGATAATGGTAACTTGGCTCTCAGTGGATGGTCGTTGGGACCAAAGACAATGCATGTTAAAGCACTTAGCAGAGCGCTTGACAAAAGTAAGCCCTCAATTAGTGGCAGCTGCAATTGTTACTGTGATTATTAAAAATAACTTTTGAGTTGGGCCTTCAAAAGGATGCTTCTGGAGTGTTCCTAGGTAGGAGGTGGGGACAAGGATAGAACCAGCAGAAGAACGTAGAGGTCCCTGTTCCCAGTGGGCCCACCCTGGAGCCTCGGCTGGGCCAGGAAGGCCTGCGGGATTCGGTGTAGAGATTTGCCCAAGTGGACCCAGTAAGGTCAGGGAGGCAGGAGACTAGCAGGCGCCTCTACTGCAAGATGGAGGGGGGCTGTGGCCAGGAGGGTGCATCCTCCACTGGAGGTCTTGGCTCTCCTGCCGCACTGCCCACCCCACCACACCCCCACCCCCTTGGGGTAGGAGTCCTTCTCCCAGGCCCATATTTGCACAAATGCCTCCCTCACTGCTCACTCCAGAGCCCCAGCCAAGAGGCACTATTTTAAGCTCCCTGGATGGGAACGCTGTTGGTGGGAACAGACCCAGCAAGAGAGCTCCCAGTTCTCAAAAAAGGGCAAGGCCTGGGCGAATGGGCGGCCACTGGGATGTGCAGAGGGTCCGCCACATCCACATGACCCTCTGCCCAGGCCAGGCGCCAATACCTCCTCCCCCAGGGGAGCAGTCAAGGAAATGCGAGTTGAGGAGGACTGCAATGGGTGGGCTTGTGCTCTGGGGCTGGGTGTCCGAGGCCTCCCTGCCACCCAGCATCCAGCCTCGAAAACACCAAGTTTGTGTCTCTGGGTTGCGGATTGACGCTGGGGAATATCTTGTGTAGGAACCTCTTCTAAAGCATCTTTGCTAGGCACGTCCAGTGTAGGGAGATCATTCATCTCTGAGGATGCACATCCCGCTTTTTAAAGCTCTCGATGTTGAACATAATAGTAATAATGATAAAAGTTTTCTCTTTCGTTATGCTACAGTGCCCTCCTATCATGCAATATGGTGTAGAGGGAGACTGCAGACTTCAGAAATGATGCTTGGACACATGCTCTGCCCCTTCTAATGTGGCCACATCCATTCTTCCTCACTTCAATGAGCCTCAGTTTCCTCCTAGGGTTGTTAAAGTGGCCTTATCATAAAAATTATGATTTGCCTGTCATACAAAGGGTACTTAAGATTTGGCCAGTTTGGGCTGCTTTTATTGTAATGTGGTTGGTTTGTGTGTGACTGTGTTTGTTGTACAGTGTTTTTGTGTTACGTGTGCTATTTTTGCTTTTGGATTGTGAAAAACCAGTATAGGCTAATATTTAAAGCACACACTCTGAACTAAAGCGACTGAACCCCAGCCCCTCCACAAAACTGCTGGGTCACCTTGGGCAGGTGGCCTAACTTTTCTGAGCCTATGTGTCCTCCTCGAGAGGAAGGAGAATTTAATGGGATAATGCACATAAAGCACCTGGCACAGTGTGGGCTCAGTGAATGGCCCTGCTATTATTTCGTTGTACACATTATTCTTAGCTGTGCTCAATCAGCTCACACTGAACAATTCTAGAACAACTTTTTTCGAACACTTTCCAGTTGCCAGAGTGCCAGTAATAGAATGGACTGCCCTGAGCTCCCCATTAGCCAAGGTGTTTTAGCAGAGGCCAGAAGACCAGCTGTGAGGGAGATGCAAAAAGAAGAGAGAGTTGAGCTTGGTGAGCTTTGAAAGTTCCCTTCCAGCCCTGAGAGGTCGAATCTCATGTCCAAGGCCTCAGGCCCCATGTGGGGCTGTCCTGCCTGCCTCTACTTGCCCAGACCTAGACAGGAAGGAGCCCAAGGGGGCCCATGAGGGATGTGGAATAAACAGCCTGTCCCCAGGGCAGATGGAGGCGCCGGGCCCCCTGCCCACCAACACATCCTCCCCTCAGTCCCGGGGGATGTTTATACTCTGGTCAGAGTTTACAGGACGTCTGAACTTACAAGATCCAGAGTTCTGATCTTCCCCCACAAGCTGTCAGCCCCTCCTCTTGCTGGGTGGGTCTGCATCTATTTTGGGTGGGAAGCCCCGTCCTCCAGCGGAAGCAGGAGAAGGGTACAACATGAGAAATGTTCTCTTCAGACCCCCAGAGGCCAGACCCCGGAGGAAGAAGAGCTTGTGCTGTGGAGGATGAGGGGAAAAGGGGGTGGTGTCTCCTGGCTGTTTATGGGAGAGGAGTCCTGGGAGGGAGAGGCAGGGGGAGGGGGGACACTTCCACTGCAGCTTGGGTTCAAAGGCCTGCTCCCCCAACACAGCTAATAACAGATGGTACTTACCAAAGGCTGACTTACATATTGGCTTCAGCTATTGGCTCAGAGAGCGCTGTTTTTATTGAGCTGGTTTTGGTGTATATCTGCGTGACTGCGAATTTGCGGCTGGGGTCTTGCACGTGCGTGTTTTGTTTTACTGTTTTTTTTTTGAAGAGTCACCAGGTGGAAGCTTCTTGCAGGCAGCGGACATGCCTTACTCACACGTGCTTCTCAGCGCCTGGCTCAGGAGCCTGGGCCCCCACTGCGACCAGAGCAGGACCTGCGGAGAGAACAGAGAAACCCTGAGGCTACTCACTACCCACCACTTGGGGGACAGGCAGCGACTCCAAGATGCATCACCTCACATGTCAGCAAGGAGCCCTTATGGCCACAGCCAAGGCCTCCATCCCCACCCTGCCTCCCCCACTGGAAAACAGCCTCAAAAACTTACAGGCTCTTAGAGCTACAGTGAACCTCAACCCAGGCCTCCCTGCAGAAGCTTGTCTCTGTGGCCTGAACCTGTTGGGGGACAATATTGAGAAGCTGCCCCGGGTGACGGTTTAACTATCTTGTCTGAGAGGCTCTGTAAGTTTCTGGGAGCTGTGGCCTTCAAGGCAGGGGCAATGAAGAGCCTTGGGAGGTCTCGAGAAGGGTTTATTCCCTTCATTTATCGAATATAGGGACTTCCCTGGTGGTCCAGTGGTTACAAAGCCACCTACCAAGGCAGGGGACATGGGTTCAATCCCTGGTCGGGGAACTAAGATCCCACATGCCACAGAGCAACTAAGCCCATGCGCCACAATTACTGAGCCTGCGCTCTACAGCCCGCGAGCCGCAACTACTGAAGCCTGCACGCCCTAGAACCTGCATGCTGCAACTACTGAGCCCACGCGCCGCAACTACTGAAGCCCGTGCGCTTAGGGCCCGTGCTCCGCAACAGGAGGAGCCACCGCAACGAGAAGCTCGCGCACCGCAACCAAGAGTAGCCCACACTCACCGCAACTAGAGAATGCCCACGTGCAGCAACGAAGACCCAATGCAGCCAAAAAATTAATTTAAAAAAAAAATTTTATTTTAATTAAAAAAAAAAAAAAGTTTCTGAGCTCATGTTCTTACAGAGGATGGTGGAGGTAACAGTACCAACATTTTAGGACCAGCCTGTGACTTAGGGCTCTTGCTGGGCCCCTCTCCTCTCAGTCCCCTGTACCCCCTGTATCCGTGGGAACTCCCTCATTTCCTGGGAAGCCCATGACCTCAGCCCTCGGGGCATGTGGAGGAAGGTACAATGTCTCCAGAATGTGAAATCTTGCCAAATTTCCATTGGAAGGTCGGTTCTCATAAATATTGTATATTTGTGGAGAAGCAGGAAGAAGTGGCTAGCATGGAATCTGACCATTTCCAAAGTCTGGTTCCCAACAAAGAAGCCTCGATCATTGTTCTACTGTCAGAAGACAGTGTCAAGGTTTCTGGCCCTGGGAGACAGAGGTGGTCCAGCCCTAGGCCCCAGGCAGGTGCTGCAAGTAGTTGCCTAGTGTTTACAGTGATATCCCTCTTACATTCATAGCACTCTACAGTTTACAAAGCACATTTATATCCGTGACTTTATTTACTCCCCGCATCAATCCCATGTGAATATCAGATTTTCACAGAAGACAAAATTGAGGCCCAGGGAAGGGAAATAACCTGCCCATATTCATATAGTGAGGAAAAGGGGGCAGAGCTTGAGATGAAAGGCTGGGCCTCTGAGACCACTCTTGACCTCAACCCCACCCTAACCTTTTGCCCAGTTAGGGAATGAGCATTGGAAGTAGGCCGTGGTTAGAAGTGGGCACCCTGTCATTAGGCAGTGGACACAGAGCCAAAGGCCAACCAAATCATTTCTGATATGGCCTGGCTGTGCTCTACAGACAAACTTACATTAGAGGGAAATGTGTCTGGCGAGAGGGCTCAGTGCGCAAGGGATATGTTTTCTGAGTCAGCTCTGGAGAGAGTTCAAGGGTTGGGGTGACCCCAATCTCCCTCTCCACCAGCAGTGTGCTCTTGGAAAAAACTGGAACTGCTTGGCTCTTCAATCAAGCACTCACATAGCTATGTCCATAATTTTTTGTCTTCCATATTGGGATTCCTTTGCATTCTACCTCCTTATCTCAACCACAGAGCCAGCTCTGACTCTGTCATTCCAGAATCACTTACAAATCTTGTTTTTTAGACCAATTCTTAGAATCACAGGCTCAGTGGGACCCTACAGATCATTTTGCTGGCGTCTCAGTGATACTCCTATCAGATGCTCCCAAGTTTCTTACTAGTCTCTACTTGTTTTAAATGTCTACCTCCCCGCTCCTTCCATCTGCTGATGACAAATTTCCTTTTGAGAATACAAAGAACAAAGCTGCTCCCTTTGCCTATGACAAGTAGTATCAGTCAGGATGGGCCAAGTTGTGCTGCATTAACAAACAATCCTCTTGGAGGCTTAGGCCAGCAAAGGCGTCTTTCTCACCTATATTACAAGTCCTGTGTAGGCTGCTTGGGCACGCTATGCTCATCAGAATCACTCAACGACACAGAATGACAGAAGCTTTATCATGATACTTTCTTCCACAAGCACCATAATGGAATCAGAGGTATGTAGGCAGTGGATTTACAGCAGTCAATCATGGGTTCTGGCGTCTTAGCTCCAACCACTTATTTCCTTCAGGCAAATTCTTTCATCTAAAAAGATTGTCAGTTTTTTTATCTATAAAGTGAGGATCATGACAAAGTACCTACCTCACAGATTTGCTGTGAGGTTAACTAAAAGGATGAATGTAAACCCTTAGCCCAGAGTCTGGTTCATAGAAAGAATTCAATAAATTCAGTTATTATGTATAATGTTAATATAGTATTATGTTAACTTAATAATGCCTACCATCTCCAGACAGAACAGTGCTCCTTTCCACTGTTCCTCATGTTGACCAGTTTGAATTCCTTCAAAGAGTTCTTTTTTTTTCTGCAAGTCATTTTCACATTATTTTTACGCATTTTATCTCATGAGAGAGGCCCTAAGCGTTCAGAGCTGAGGCACAAAAGGATACATCCATGTGTCTTGCCAACCCCAAGCAATTTATCCAGTTCAAGATACATTACCAAGTCCTTCTGAGGAGTCCAGGGAAGGGAAGTCAAATCTGGAGAAGAATCCTGGCTTGAGATACAACACTATGGTAGAGAGACACAGAAATCAAACTGTAGAATGTCAGAGTTAGAAGAGACATTTAGAACAAGCAAGTCTCATCATGTCTTCTCTTTTACAGATGGGGAAACACAACTCCAGAGAGGGAAAGGGACTGCTACAATGTCACACAGCAATTCAGTGTCAGAGCTGGGGCCAGAGCCCACTTCCTTTAATCCCAATCTTGGGGCTTTCTGCACATCACGTAAGGAGATAACATTCTCTACCACTGGGTGAGGAGGGGGCAGATCTCTCGGAATTATGGCTTGTCCTCATTTCACAGAGTTGTACTCCGACGGAGTTGTAAAGTTAAGAACTTTATAAACATTACCTTATTAAGGCTTCTTGGAAACCCAAAGTCACAGCTCCTCTGGGTCATGGGACATGTGTTGAGCATCCAGTGAACAAACAAAGGGTAATGTTATATTTTTCACTTCGTTTAGGAAACCTGGCTTCTAATTATAGGATTTGTTTAACAGTGCCGGGTGGTTTACGAAGGCCTGGAGTCAGCCTGCCGTCCTCAGGGCTGCTGAGGAGCATCAGATGGGCAGACACGGAAGGGGTGGGGGTGGGTAGCAGGGAGGGGACCTCAGCAGCAAAGGGGAGAGAGGGAGGAGCAAAGTCAACTTAAGCTGAGGTCTGGAGGGGGCTATTAATTTTCCCTAATCCCATCAACCAGGTTGCTCCCATTTGGAAATTATCTCCAATAACCCCACTCTGTTACCATAACCCTTTCATATCTGGGCAGTGCATCAATTTGCTCTGTGGCAAGCAGGTGAAACAAGGACCACATAACTCTTGGGTTCTATGAACAATTGAGCCCCCTGCAATAGCAGTCAGGATTAGTGTCCCCCTCCCTGGGGAAAAATGGAATAGGACCTGGCTTGATCTCCATGGTTATTTAAATAAACATATTTTAAGTAAGTTATTTTTTAAAATAAATCTTTATAAATTTTGTAAAGTACTATAATACGAATGTATTGTATTCCCTTAACACAAATAAAAAATAGAAATTAGATAGAAGTAAAAATAGAAGTCTGTAATATTATATACAATAACTGTATATATAACTATAGTATAGACTATAACTCAGCCCCTTTAGTTAAGCTCATTACCTCAATGTAAATCAGGAAAAAATCAAAACCAGAAAACTACAATGAAGTAAGTCCAAATCACCCAAATTCCCACATTCTTGCAAACGGCTAACAGTGCATTTTCACACACATGTGCAACCACACGCACACTCACACATGTTACAGGGTGTTCGTTGGCACCATTCATGGTGTGATTACTGCAGCTCAATTGGTCCTCAGACTTCAAATGTTCAAGGCCCATATGCCAGTAAGGGCAGGAAGTCAGACCTGCAATGTAGCCACTCTCCCCAAGGTTCTTACCATCTTCCTCTTATGCACCCAGGGGTCCCCTAGTCCTTACAGGTGTCTTGGGGGTGGGGTCAGTGTTGAGTCCCATCTGGTGCTATATCAATGTGCTGACCATGATAGAAGGATATGAACGTCCAAGCAGAAGCTGGTCTTGGTGAGTCATATCCCAAACTGTGGGTCATGTTCACAACTCCCAAAGGGGCCACAGAGGTGAAAGCTAGTATTCTCCCTAGGCCAGGGAAGGACTCCAAGCTAACCGCCCAGGGCCCTTCAACAAGGGCGAACCTGTCCCACTTCCTATCAACATTTGTATACCAGGGAGTCACAGAATTTTTGAGGGCTGTGCCACACCATTGTCCCTCCCCTACAACCACTTTTCCCTGGCGATCAGCACAAAAGGTTTGTTACATCCCTCTCCCTGCCTTTCCCAGAAATACTCCCTTCAGGCAGTTCATAATGACCTTCTGTCCTGATCTGTCCGTGCACTGGACTAAGGGACAGACAAAACACAAACTTAACCTCCAGCAGGGCACCTTGCTACATCCACACTTACCCCTACACACAGACACATCATTTATTTTGTTATGGTAAAAATATGCATAACATAAAACTGAACATTTTAACTATTTTAAAATTAATTAATTAATTTGTTTGTTTTTATTTTTGGCTGCGTTGGGTCTTCATTGCTGTGCGCGGGCTTTCTCTAGCTGCGGTGAGCGGGGGTTACTCTTCATTGCGGTGCGCGGGCTTCTCGTTGCGGTGGCTTCTCTTGTTGCGGAGCACGGGCTCTAGGCACGCAGGCTTCAGTAGCTGTGGCACACGGGCTCAGTAGTTGTGGCGCACAGGCATAGTTGCTCCACGGCTAGGGCTCAAACCCGTGCCCCTTGCATTGGCAGGCAGATTCTTAACCACTGCGCCACCAGGGAAGCCCCCATTTTAACTATTTTCAAGGGTACAATTAAGCTTTGAAAAATTGATTTGATGACAATTATAAGTACTTCTTCACTAATTGTCTCTTACTTACCTCTCAGAATCAAACTCTGTCAATGAAACAAAAAAGTCTTATGCTCATCAAAGAAAACATATGGAGCTTGATTTTGTTTTTAATTCTTCTTCTTTAAAAATTTTATTTATTTTTATTTTTGGCTGCTTTGGGTCTTCGTTGCTGTGTGCGGGCTTTCTCTGGTTGCAGCGAACAGGGGGCTACTCTTCGTCGTGGTGTGCGGGCTTCTCATTGCAGTGGCTTCTCTTGTTGCGGAGCACGGGCTCTAGGCGCCCGGGCTTCAGTAGTTGTGGCACGTGGGCTCAGTAGTTGTGGCTCACGGGCTCTAGAGCACAGTCTCAGTAGTTGTGGCGCACGTGCTTAGTTGCTCCGTGGCATGTGGGATCTTCTGGGACCAGGGCTCGAACCCGTGTCCCCTGCATTGGCAGGCGGATTCTTAACCACTGAGCCACCAGGGAAGCCCTGGAGCTTGATTTTTTAACAGCACTTTTCAAAACATGTCTCCCGAATGATCACCTCTGAGCTGTGCCTTTTGGGTCGAATTAGCATGAAGTCAGGGCTGGGGGTTAGGGACAGGTTGGAGGTGAGAACATGAAGTGTGAGATAAAGCTCATAGGACCTCAGGGCTGGAAGGGACTTGCCAAGTTGTCATCAGCCTGTTTGCATTCCTCTAGCATCACAGAACTCATCACTTTACCAAGACAGCCCATCAGCCCATCTCATCCTTGAGTTAATCCACTGACTCAAAAAAGTCCTTCCTGCATAGCTCTAAACGCCACCTTCCTGAAGGTTCTAACTGTATCAGCTCAACCTCTTCATCGATCACCTGTAGAGGTGGAGCAGCTCTGCCCGGCCCCCTGAGTCTCCTGTTCTTCAGGACCCTCAACCTCCTGCTAGGGATTCCCTTGCCCCTGACTGCACACACCCTCTGAGGACACAGAACTCATCAAACACACTCTCATACCCAGCCCTTAACAAGAAGCTCCCCTCACCTCCTAAGATGCCTTATTCACACATACAAAGCCAGAGTCTCGCTGACCTGTTTCCTCTGGGAGCAGAGGGATTTCACGGCTGCCTTGCCACAGTGTGAAAAGAAAAGCCACTTCACACAATGGTTAATAGACGTAAAGCACTAGTAACTCCCAGGAGAGGGCATGGGAGGAAAGAGAAATGGCTTCAAAAATGTTTGAGACAGATATATGGACACTGAGTCATATATGGCTGCCATTTAGTTAGCCTTCTGAGATATTTTGGTGCCAGGACACCTCCTCTCCCAGGATCTGCCTGCAGGTTGCTTCAATTCCTTGTTCTCGCCTCTGGTAACAGACCTTACGATAACGGAGACTGTTGGCTCACAGGGGTGGCCAACTCATGCTTGGCCAGGCACAGAGTTCTTGGGCATTGAAATGGTGGGCCTTTCCATAACTTATACTGGTCACTTTTCTGTTTTCTTTTCTGTCTTGATGTAATATCTCTGATGCTACAGTAGCACAAGTAATAGAAGCATAACAAGTTTCACAACCTCCAAAGTGGACTTTCCATAATTTCGATGGTTCCGTTGGGCTGGCTTTATCTTTACCCTGGGATCTGCTGGTGGTGCTTTGGAGTGTCAAATCAGAACACTGAACAGGAGCGGGGAGCGGTGGTTACAAGCCTTCCCTGCCATGATCTTACAACCCAGGGGTACGCTTGTGAATGGTATCCATCTTCTAGGTTCAGGAGGGAAGGGGATGACATAAATGGCAAGCCTGCTGTGTGTCAGGTGTGGTGTCATAACCCTTAAAATAAATACCTGGCATTTACTGAGCCCTTACTCTGGAGCTGCACAGGGCTAACCCCTTCGTAAGCATGGTCTCGCTTCGTCTTCACAGCAATCCTGGGAGGTAGGGGCTCTTTCTGGCCCCATTTTACAGAGGAGGAAAGTGAGGTTCACAGATGTTAAACACAGTTCCCATCCCCACTCCCCGTGGGAAGCAGTAGAGGCAGTACTGAGCCCAGTCTGGCTCCATAGTTGACCCATCCCCTAGGACTGCAGCGGCCAACCCACCTGACCCTTGTGGCAACACCAAAAGGCAGGCCCTATGTTTCCCATTTCACAGAGGAGTAAAGTGAGGCTCAGAGCAGCAGTTGAAGAACTGTGCCCAGACCTCACAGCTAAGAAACAGCAAAGGCAGGAACAAACACACAGGCCTCCCGACAAGAGAATTCTTTCCTCAGAAGGAACAAAGTCGGTGTGAAGCTCCTCCTACCAGACTGGGAGCCTCTTAAGGTCAGGGACGGTGTAGGGTTCAGCACCCCACACCCCCGGAGCTGCCCCGTGCAGGATGGTCCGAAGCCGTGTGCTGGAGGGAATCCTGCCCTGAGGGAGGGGAGGGAGGGGGCAGCAGTCCCATGTGGACCAGGGGTCCAGGGGACTGTGAATGAGAATGTGAATGAAGGTAGCTGGGGTCCAGCCAGCCTGGCCACAAAAGGGAAGCTCTGAGCAACAAGGCCACTGGGAGGAGCCCTCCTCCAGCCTCAGCGGCCACTCCTATGCCCACAGCCGCCGTCCACAGACATCTTCCCGGCTATCCCTCACAGGCACTGCAGGAGGCCTGGGGAC